TACTTAACTACAACAAATATCACATACTTTAAGACTTTTACTCAAGTTATATTCATAAAGGAGACTTTAACTTTTACCAAAGTCACGTTTTGGTAAGATACTTTTTACTCAAGTATCACTTTGTGGTACTTTATACCACACTGGTTCAGGGTGTATGAATGGATCAGTGAAAAGTGGGAGTGGGAGAGGGGGGATGTGGAGGCACTGACTGGTGAAGACACTGGTTTCTAGGCCAGTTAAACTAATTAAAGGGGACTAGATTTCAGTTGTTTTTAAATAAAATAAATAAACATGTATTTATATATGGATTTTTAACTCGTAATTGCTCAAAAGTATGTTTAGTGTCAGATGAAGAGGGGCCAGTGGAGGTGGTGGTGGGGGCATTATTAGTAGGAGGGTGTTGCTTCCCACACCCCATGGTCCAAAACAAAATTGTGTCTCCTGACCACCACCGGTGTGTGTTTGGAGGTCATCCTGTGTTCACAGGTCAGCTGTGCCACAGGCCACCCAATTCTTTTGCATTGGGGACTTACTGCACATGTCCAAAACCTTACAATGACTTCCTGTGGGACTCTGGGGCGCCGAACCGCTCGTGACCAGGAAGTGACTCAAAAACTCGTGTGTAAAATGGAAGTTTACACATCAGTAACTCTAAATTATTTATTTTACTTATCATAAAACATATATACTATATTTTTTCGAAACATTTATAACGTTTTATATTAACTTTTTAACTTTTTTTTGTACAAAAAACTAGTGGTGGGGCGGCACCCTAGCGGCCCCTGTTGACCAGCCGCCACTGCTCCTAACTATTACGTCATTATTTGTTTGTTTTCTTTTTTCTTTGCTTAAATTAATTTAGACACTTTCTCAAACAGGGACCCAGTGGAAAGCCTGGTGATGCAGGTTCTCGAGGAACTCAGGGAACAGCAGTGAGTGAAAATCTGAATTATTACACGCACCATCTCCTCTTGGCTATTTAAATAACACAAAAACACAAACAGCATAAAAGTGATGAATACTGACATGTTTCAGGGTGATCCAGGTCAAAGAGGAGCTGCAGGTGAGACTGGACCAGGAGGAGTTCAGGTAACGTTTAACACTTTTATCATCATTACTTCATTATAGTTGAGTTTTTTCTTAAAAAATGTAACACATTTAAGGCAGTTTTGAATATGTCTGTAGTCCAGTCTTGCTGTTATTGCTGTTTCATGGTCATATTTTAGGGGGAGCAAGGACCACCAGGAATCAGAGGAGTACCAGGGTCAAAAGGAGGACCTGTAAGTTCTACTTCATCTTGGTGAAACACCAGTTATTATGTAAACTCTGTAAAACTCTCAGCTCATTCAGGACTTTTATACTTTTCAAATGAGCTTATTTTTATTTACAAAAATAAATCTTTAAAAAAGATATTGAGATCTCTACTTTTGAAGATGGGGCTCAGTCACACGACTGTAGCTAATATTTTAATCTGTACGTAGAGTTAGGCTTAGTTTTCCACATGGCCTATATGGACAATAAATACTTTGTCTATAGTTCCTGTAATACTTTTTTTTTATACGGCTTTCCTTTGTTATTTCATGGAGCAGCACAACCATTTAGATTTGTATGAAGTAATGTTTAAAATAAAGTTTTAATTGAACATTTTCTCTGTCTTCAGGGCCTTCCTGGTCCAGATGGACGTGAGGGAATACCTGGGCTTCCTGGTTCGAAGGTAAGAACTTCAGATAGTGCTGGTGCACAGCCTGGTTCTGTTTGTCTGTCAACCTGCAGACAAAAGAAAAAAACCTGAATTACAGATTCCCTCTCTTCTCTGTCAAACTGTCCCACCTGACAAGTTTGAACCTAAAAACATTGACGGATGGAGATGATTTTGTCCAGTCTGTTTATCCGTTACGGTTATTTTCAGGGTCTTCCTGGAAAAAGTGGGGCTCCGGGTGATTCTGGCACACAGGGACTTCCTGTGAGTGACTTTTTGCCCTGACCCGACGGTTAATTTGTATTTAACATTTGCTTGTCCTGTTTTAGACTGTAACGCTTGCTGTCATTGTGCTCATGCAGGGTTTACCAGGAGCGCATGGACCAAAAGGACATGGTGGTGTGAAGGTATGACCAGAGCTCACACCACATGAAAACAGGATGACTTCTGAAAGAAACCTCGTTCTGTTTTCCTCTCTCTGCCCAGGGCAACACAGGAGACCCAGGGGTTTTGGGACTGATGGGGTCTCCAGGGAAACAAGTAAGTTTAAATCAACATTTTACTTAACTCTAAAAGCACAACACGTTTAATAATACATGTCACCTGAAGCACTGACGACCCTCTGATCTGAAGTCTGATTCTGCTTCCAGGGCGAGACTGGTGAGCAAGGACAGGTGGGACCTGTCGGACCCAGAGGAGGACCTGTGAGTTTACATCCTTGCTTTTCCCTTTCAGCTTTTATCCTTTCAGCTTATTTATATAGATACATTTCACAACAAAAGTCATTTCAACAAAAAATAAAGAAAGAAAATCAAAAATCCAACTTTAAAGCAGATCCAGATTCTAATCATTTTAATACGTTACAATCACAGTCAGTGTGTTACAGATTCCCAGGTTTTGAATAAATCCAAGGCGATCAGCAGAGTGTGTCAGAAATTTGCTTTGACTCAACCTTTCATCCAATCTCGGGACTTGCCTGGTTAAACAGCAGTAAATAAAATAAACAGTAATGAGTGCCCCAGACAAATTTCAGCATACATCGATGTTTATCAGAAAACACTGTGATGTATAACTAAATTTAAACCTCTTAACGACCACTGTTTTCTGTACCCAATGGTAAACTGGCTCTCATTATTTACCTGTCGACTTCTACACTGGTATGCTTTAATTTGTAAATCCATGCTCAGTCTGCTGCCTCCTTATGTACATTTGAAGATGTCACAAAGAGTACAGTCATGGTCTACGCTCCCAGGATTTTACTTTTAGTGTCCCCTTAGTTTGCACAAACCTTGAGACAAAGGCCTCCTGTTTTGTTCCATCTCTAGTATTCACAGCTGCAAGGACTGAATCTGTCCATCCATCCATCCATCCATCCATCCATCCATCCATCCATCCATCCATCCATCCATCCATCCATCCATCCATCCATCCATCCATCCATCCATTATCTCAACCCACGTCTTCCTTTAATGGTCACCGGGGTCACTGGAGTCTATATCCAGTCATCACCAAAATACATTGAAATATGACTCCACTCAGTTTTTTTAATTTAAGGGGTATATAGGGCCACACAACAAAATTTTTTTAAATTCCGAGAATAAAGTCATAATTTTACAAGATTAAAGTCAAAGTAATAAGAGAAAAAAGCCATAATCTTACATATGTCCATTTGCCATTCTTGATTTTTTTCCTCCTTATTTTCCTCCCACCTGCGGTGCACAGCCATGCCTATCACTGTGGTTATGAAGTAGTCCGCTATAACTTGGGTCACTACAGTAATATGCTTCCATCAACTTTATTCTGATACGACTTATTTCTCATACTGTTACAACTTTATTGTCATAATAATATGACTTTGTTCTAGGAATTAAAAATATATTGATAATCTTCTTGTGTCCCTAATATGACATCGTAATTTATAAAGACAACATTATCTCATGAGTTTGAACATTTCTAATTCAATGCTGAACTATGAAATTAAATCACATTTGTAAGGGTGAGTGACTTATTTAAAATAAGTCCCCCTACATCGTCCCATAACAAAGTTATGAGAGTAAATTTTACCAAGGTTTTCCTCATTACTTTAATATTTGTCTGTACAGAATGAAGAGTGACACAGTGAGGGAACTCAGACTGGTTCAAGTTGATTCATAAAAGATTATGCAATCATTTATTTACACAAATTGAACAAAATCATAGTTTACACCTGATAGTGGATTTCCTATAATAAGCGTCTAAGTTAAAATGAGATAAAACCCGCGTCCGAATTTCTTTCACATTAACTCAGATTACTTACATAGAACAGTAAAATGTCAGTTCTGATGTTAAAACTAAACAATTTACTGGCACTTTCACTTAGAGTTGGCAAAGGATAGGGTAAGAAAAGGGTAAGAAAATTAAGGATTAGTGTTTCTGCTTTTATTTTGGAAAGTGTCAGTGACAACCGGGTCAGCACGTCCCCTCTGCGCTCAGACTTCAACTTGACCCGTCACCACGAACATATCAGTTTACCTGGGGATGTCTTCTTAAGGCAAACCTGGTATGAACTGTCTCACCACGACCCTTCAGGAAGCTTGTCCCCGCTGGTCCTTGGCGAAAAGGTGTTTTAAGGTGACTTTTCGTCTGTTTCAGCCCGGCTAYAAAGATTCCAGCTGTGGTTCCGGTCGTCCTTCAAAATAAAAGTCTCCCCTCGGGAGGTAAAAACACTTTGTGAGACTATGTCTCTGGTGGACAGGAGCAGCGTGCTCCCGTCCGGCCGTTAGGTTCTACTCAATTTGGTTCATGAGTCAGACCTGCGGCCCGGCTGTTCTCCGGAGAGGAAAGCCGGTCTTCCCGTTTCGGCATACAGGAATAGACTGTGTGTCTCTCTAAGGCGTCCGTGTTAGTAAGAGAGTCGGAGCCTTAGATCCGCCCTCAGGCGTTAGAGCCATGAGTCAGAAAGGAAAGAAGAGATAAGACTTTGCCAGGCGCCAGTGCAAGGTCATGCTGTAGTTAGTTTAAACAGACATTTGATAATATCTTCTTAGCTTCTTTCTGATAGATTCTAAGGGAAATCACTGTAAAACATTTATGATGATTAATTAACATTTCTGTTTAAATAATCAGTCTGAACTTGGTGTCCAGATAAATGTAAGATTTTCTTAAGAAAACTCAAAATTATATTACTGATGTTTCCAGTAAAAATAAACAGTGATTTATAAAACACAATGAAAACATGGTGATGATTTTCTGTGATTTTATACCATTAATTAATCTTTTTAGGCACGATAAAAGAATAGAAGTGATTCTTTCTTTCTTTGTGACATGTCATTATTATGATTAACAAATGCATAAACATTCTTAGTTAAACCACAAATGAATCACGAACAGAACAGATTGTTTCTGTTAATTATCTGATTAAGAGAACTGAAGTCCTCCATCACAGGTTGAAATGACCCATCATGGCCTAAAATAGAGTTCAGTGTTCCTGCCTTCTCTGTCAGGCCTTCCGAGACCTGCTTTGAGGCAGTAACTCCTGTCTCTTCACTCGAGGTGACCCCTACACATTCAACCTCATACAAAATGACATGTAACATGTCTCAACATGACTGTGAGATGCACAGTCAGATGAGTCTCATAGAATTCATGAGTTTGTCCAAGGTTCTCAGGTGAAGACAGCTATTCTGCATGTTTTAGATGTTCTCCTGCTTTGAGGCGGCTCATTTCCTGAGGACTAGGATTGAGTACTGCTGGTCTAAAGGGTACCTCCAATCTGACTGAGAAGAAAATGGTGTTGGATAAGCATTCTAATTCAGATTAAGTCATGCGTAATTATTCCTCAGGATTACAATGTGCAGACAGTGACACACAGCCATAAATGGCTGCATAAAGTTGAAACAACGGCAGCTTTGGTGCTGCTGCATCTAGAAACCATGTTTGATATTCTGCTGTCAGTGGGCGAGCAGCAAGATAGACCATGGTAATTCTACAGTGTATTACATGACCACACAGATGCAAATTTACTATCACTTATAGCAAATTTAAAGTAACCAATTAACACATTTTTTGTTGGTGGGAGGAAAACGGGCAAACCAGAGAAAACCCACACATTCATAGGGAGAACACGTGAACATTACATAAAAAGACCCCACCAGGAGTCAAACCAAGAACCTTCTTGCAGCAAACAACAGTACTAATCAATTGCACCAATAACTGAAAATATGTCAACTCAAAAAATAAATATAATAATAACAATCTGCTGGATGTTTCTGATAGTTACACTGCCTGGCCAAAAAAGGTCACACACTCTTTTTGTTGGACCGCCTTTAGCTTTGATCACAGCACACACTGTGGCTTTGTTTCAATAAACTTCTGCAATGTCACAAGATTTGTTTCCATCCAGTGCATTCATTTTTCACTAAGATTATGTACTGGTGATTGAAGAGTCTGACCGCTGTGCACAGCCTTTTCCTGCACATCCTTAACATACTCACTGAGGTTAAGGTCTGGACTCTGTGGACCAATCCATGTGTAAAAATGATGTCTCATGCTCCCTGAACCACTCTTTCACAATAAGAGCCCCATGAATCCTGGTATTGTCATCTTTATACGTCCATATGATCAGGGCCCACATCATAGACCTGACCACCTGTAGACCCCACATCATAGACCTGACCACCTGTAGACCCCACATCATAGACCTGACCACCTGTAGACCCCACATCATAGACCTGACCGCCTGTAGACCCCACAT